GATATGGGACTTTCACTGGGATCGCTGATCGCGGCAAATAGAAAGTGCAGGGCGTCCGCTGCAGGTGCACCCCAGACAGAAGACGAATACAAACACGGGTGCACGTCACCAAGAAATCTCTCGTCGTTCATCTGGAATTTCAGCATAACCAGCTGTCCCCGCATTTTACCCAACCGCCTTGGCTCGGGTGCCAGAGGCCCTGCTCCAGACCAATGCAGGGGCGTCCAGCCTGCGGCCCGTGGGCCGCGTGTGCCCCAGGACGGCTGGGAATGCAGCCCGGCACGGAATCGTGAACCCTCCTCAGATGCTACGAGACTTTTGTGTGATTTTGTGTCGCAGCACATTGGACGTATGACATCTCCGATCCTCCGTGCCTTTCAGAAGGGGTCACGGTTCACACACAGCTGCTCCGTTGGAGCCACTGTGTGGACAGACGGACATCCAGGTGCCGCCACCTGACAGGGAACAGGAGACCCCAGTGATCCGAAGGAAGCCCTTGCTGTGGCCCCGGGCGGGGACCAGCGCCTCCCTGCTCCCCTTGTCCCAAACTGCAGCTCGGCTGGGAGAGGGTCCCAGGTGCGGGGCCGCCCTTAGCAGGCCCACGAGATGCCCCCCAGCACTACAAACCCGTGACGGGGCGATGCCCCACCTTCAAAAATCTGGAGCAACTGTGGGCAGTTCAGTGTCTTTTAAAAATTCACGTTCACCCCCATCAACAGGAGCAACACGAGCCTGTGCTCCGTCCCCGCCGGCAGCGCCCTGGTGTCCAGCTGGTAGCGGGCAGCTGGCACCCAGCGTTCCTCTTCCATGGGACCCCCATTTAATAGACAGTCCTGGCTCTTTGAATCACAGAGCTTCAGAGTCAGCAAATAATTACCAGCAGCAATTTTAGGATAAGGCCGCCTGAACGAGCTTGGTGAGAGTGTGCCAACCTGAGCGGGGTGTCTTCACTTTTGGCTCCGATGCAAACCCAAACCCCAGTCACTGGGCTCCACCCCCGCTCCCCACCCGCTGCTCGGCCGGGAACCTGCACACCGTCTTCCAAAGGGGCACCCTCAGGACAGCAAACTTCTGTTCTAAGGACATTAAATAAATTACTTCCTTAAGATCATATGGCAGATCTATAGTTAATTAAACCCACCTAGATATCAAGGCAAAATAATTTCGCTCTTCTAAAAAGGTAAATGTAACTTGCCGATTTGGCGTTTGGAAGAACGCTTTGCCCAAAATCAATTCCTTTAGTTTCCAGAGAATAGAAGCAAGAGGCAATCTCGTTTTAATTATATCTCTTTATTGCTAACAAAGGGATGATTTATGCAATTAAATTAACTGGCTAGAAAATTACCCTCAGCTGGGCTGTCCTGGTTCTCTGCTCTGTGAATTGCAGGCTCTCGTACTCCCGGGAGTAGATTAATTTTTCTGATATGCAAACAATGCCTCTGTGTTCGCCGGCCCCGTTCTTATTCACAAGTCCCCTTTCTTCTTGCCAACGACATGAATAATATTTGTTGAACTGCTCGGCTCTGACTACTTTTTTTTTCTTTTAATGTTAAAAAGATAAAAAAAAGATCTTTTCTTTCCAGCCTCATTATCCCAGAGCAGAGGGAGGTCCCGGTTGTATCTGCAGCATCAGAAAACCAGCAAATCACGGAAAACGGGGAACGTGTCAGAGCCACAGTGCCGGGCTCGGGTCCGGGCCCCCCGAAGGGGCCAGTGAGCAAACACCCCTGTGGCCATCCTTCCTCTCACCAACCCCCGTCCCTCGGCCTCCCCCACCCGTCCAAGGTCCTGTCCGCCCCCTGGAGCTGTTCCCATGAAATGGAGCAGCCGGCAGAGGTGTGCGCCCCGCCCTGCCCCGAGTTGGGGACGCATCGCACAGGCAGCCAGTGTGTGAAGAAGCAGCAGCACACAATGAAACCATCCACCGCATTTCAGAATCAGGGCCCCAAGGGCAGCGGGCTGCCAGCTGTGAGGGCACTGGTGGGGGCCATGGTGAAGACGGCGGTCAGACTGTGAATCCCTTCAATTATATATTAGGTGGTGGCACACGGGGGTCGTCCGTTCCTGAAACAGAACGTCTCCCCCAAAGGAAGTCGAGTGCCTTTGCGTTCGTTAGGTCGAGGTTCTGGTTGTTGAGCGTTGCCGCCTTGGGGTGGGCCTCTGAGATTTGTGTGGCAGCAGGGAAGTGGCCGTCGAGCACGTGTTTCAGGAAAATCTGAGTGGAGCCGCGTGTGGGTCCGAGGAGGGGGGCGACCTGATCATCTCTCAGAAGGGGAGGGAGCTGCGCCGAGAGCGTGGGCCAGGCGAGGCCTGGGTTCGTTTCCTACGTGAGCCGCTCACGGTGGGGTGTGGGTCCCAGGGCCAGTGGGTCCAACCTGTGTTAAGATCTGGTGGAATCTGAGCTAGAAATCCGGAACCAGTGCCTGGCTGGGGGATGATCTAGATAAAATATCTGAAAAAAGATGAAGTCAGGCGTGCAGCTTTGGCAGATAGACCTCCCTTCAGTGCACTTAAAGAAATTCCAAGATGCTGCTCGGAACCGTTCGGAGGGAGACAGAGGGCCCCTCCCTTCTTCCCCGCACTCTGCTCCGACCGCCTCCCCGCCTGCAGCGGGGAGGTTTCAAATCCACGTCCCAGGGCAGTGAGGACGGGAGGACGGCAGCCTCCCTCCGTCGAAGGGGCAGCGCCAGCTCAACTGAAATAGGTGGCAGGACCCGAATTTGAAACGGAAGTTCATATACAACTGTTCTGGTCACTCTAGAACCAGGAAACATTCCGTTCGGCTAGAAGATGCATGAACTTCCGCCCGCAGAGCGCCTATTTCAGCCTCCCAGGCTCTGTCCTGAACTGGACTGACTCCCTGAAACGTGCCCGTTGAACCTGCACTTGTGTGTTGGCAGGGAAGGAGCCTAACTCACCAGGTGACCGAGGCCCACCCTGCAGGGGGCGTCGTTCAGGGTCAGGCTCGGCCTGGCCCACGGGCTGGGGCGCGGGCTCCACGTTCACTGTGGCAATCAACCCACGTGTTTACGCAGCCCCGATGGGCGTCATTTTCAAGGAGGTTTGGGGAAAATTCTAGGTTTTGTTATTTAGTTAAAGCAGCTAAATAGAGGTTTGAGTGTGGAAGACACTGAGGGTTTCTGAATCAGGCTTCTGTCTGGGCCAAAAAAAGAGAGGGAATGAAGCTGTGAGCTGCTCATAGGTCCGGTGACGTTGGGTGGGACCGTGGGATTACACCCAGCCCTGCGGCTGGGCTGCTCCCTCACAGGAGACGAGCGGCTGGTCCCTAAGTGACTGCGCCTGCGCTTCCCCTGAATCTCAACTGAGACACGGGCCCTGCAGGATGTCACACCGGAAGATGGAAGACATGCAAAAAAGTGCAAGATGGTGATACCACCAATAGTGGAGATAGTGACAGAAGAAGGGGAAAGCTGGCCGAGTTTCAAAACATGTCGGAGCTTTGGGAAGCCGAAAACCTACGTGCTTCCCAGGAAACTGTAAACCGAGGGGAGAACCGCACGTACAGCGGAGGTGGGGGGCTCCCTCTTGCTGTTGCACCGGCTCAAGTCCAGACAGGTGACCAGAAGTCCCGGTCTGGGTGACGCAGGGCCCCTCTCGGCTGCCGTGCACGATGGTGCCCCAGACGGGGCCACACGTGGCTTTTGAACAAGTGTGGTTTCCTCACCTGAACATCAGGTGGCACTGCTGGGCCACGTGGGGTTCAGTTTCGGTACCTGAGGAAACGCCACCCTGCTGTCCACAGCGGCTGCCAGGTCTGCACCCCTGCGGGCAGGGCACGGGGTCCCGTTTTCCCCGCACCTCACCCGCACTTGTGTGTGGATCTACTGATGGCCGTTCCGACGGGTGGGACGCGGTATCTCACCGTGGTTTCGGTTTGCATCTCTGATGACTAGTGACACTGAGCACCTTCCCAGGTCTCTGGCCACGCGTGTGCGCTCCACCCTCTCTTTGGAGAAGTGTCTACTCAGGTCCTCTGCCCTTTTTAATCGGATTTCCCTCGGCCGTGGGGGGAGGAGTATTGAGTTACCCAAGTTCTTTCTGTATTTCATCTGATGAAATTAGCTCCTCAGATGCATCACTGGCAAACGGTTCTCACAGTCAGTGGGTCGTCCTTCCATTTTGACGGTTTGCAGTGCGGGAACTTGTTAGTGTCGTGTAGCTCCAGTGGTTTCTCTCGTCTCCCCTGCGGGGAGCTGTGCCCGAAAAGATGAGTCGTGTCCAGGGGCTCGCTGCCTGTTTTCACCCACGTCTGTGGTCCCGTGTCCTGCGTGTCTCTCTCCGACGTGCAGCCGGGTTGCGTGTGGTGGGAGGACACCGTAGGGGCCGTCTCTGCAGTGCTGGGCATCCCCGCCCCGGCGGGGCCTGACCGCAGAACCGATTCTGGGCTCTCGGCCCTGCTGCCACGCTCTGGAGCGCTGTTGCTTTATAATGTGGTTTGACTGCAGGGAGCAGGTCACCCCCACTTTGTCCCCAGAGCTGCCTGGCTCTCTGGGGTTGTCTGCGGTGCCATCGGATTTGGGGTGAGCCGCCCTGAGAAGGCCACGTGCGTGCTCACGGAGCTGCCCTAGGCGCCAGGACGTGTGAACAGCAGTGCCTTCCAACCCAGGAGCAAGGCACGGCCTCCATCTGTTTGTGTCCCATTCAATTTTCTTTCGGCGTCTTGTACCTTTTAGACAGGGGCCGTCAAACATTTTTCCCGGGGGCTACATCAGCCTGGTGGTGGCCTTCGAGGGCCAAAATAACGTCAGCACTGTGTACACGTGACTGCTCCTAAACTGTGAAGGAGACGACCATGGGGCGGCTGTGGCCCCGGGAAAGCAAGGCCGAGGCCCGTGTCAGAGGGCACGCACGCCCTTGGCCTCCCCAGCCCACTTTACTCCCAGGTATTCCATGCTTTTTAAGCGACTGTAAGCAGGGCCGCTGGCCTTACCTCCCTCTGACCCACCACCACTGGGAACAGGAGTCAACACAGGGGCAGCCGAACGGATACAGGGCTTTATTGTGAGTCAGCAGGGTCCACACCAAGTGCACCGCCCTCCAACCACCACCCGGAGCCCCCGAGAAACAGCCGCCTCGGCACTGTTGGCTCCTCCCACTCACTCCAGCCTCAGTCCCGACAGAACGGCACAGGGCGGCACAAGCTGTGCGCACAGAGACGGCCCACGCGTCGGTCAGGTGGGCAGCCTGGCCATCCTCCTCCTCAGCTCGGCCGTCTTCTCCTCCAGCTGGGCGCAGCCTTCCTGCGCCGCCTTTTCGACACCCTCGTGGTACTTCTCCAGAGCCCCCTTCAAGGCCAGAAGTATTTCCTGGGAGGAAAACAGGAGGCGGTCAGTCTGTGCGGCCACCTCGACGAGACACGGGCTGCGAGAATCCCCAGTGTGGCTCAGTTACTCTTCTGAGGCCTGATGTCCTCTGTGCACGCACACACGTGTCCACTCCCACTAACAGTCCACCCTGCGGGCAGGACGGCACGTGGGCAAAGCCGCTCCTAAAGCGGGGGCGTGAACACGCGTGGGTTCCAGGACGGTAAGAAGATACTTCTAACTTTGAAGAAAACACCTCCACATCAGCGCCCCCCATTTACCAAGCATTCACCCCAGTGACTGCTGGACACTCTGACCGTGACCTCGGTCATCACTGCAGAGACACGGGGACAGATTTCCCAAGAATCGAGGGACCCCAGGGCTGCGCCGCTGCCATGTAACACAGTCAGAACCAGGGGGCCCGGCGGCTCCAGGAGCAGCAGCACATCTGTGCACATCTGCGCACATCTGTGCACACAGCCCTGTGGCCATGCAGCAGCTTGTAGCCCGAAGGTCATTTCTCCTCTCATCCTCACAGACGCGTTTTCCGTTTTTTTAAAGGAAGCACGTCGAATGGTTCTATCGTTACTACTATGGACTGAGAGAGAGGCGTCAGTCCGTGGTTCACTGACACTCCACTGGCTGACTCTCGTGCTGCCCTGACCGGGGGCGGAGCCCACAACCTCGGGTGACAGGGACGACGCTCTGACCAACCGAGCTATCGGGCCAGGGCCACCTGGTATTTTGTTCCTCACTTTTCTTACACAGAATGCTCAGGCCTCGCTGCAACGAGTGGGACTTGGTTACAGGGGGTGTTTCACCCCAGAAATGAAAGAGCACCCCTTTTCCAGCGGGAGGAAAGGGCAGCGGGCGGGTCTGCTGTCCTCGCCTCTAAGGGCCAAGCCGTCCGGCCGTTCTTAAACCTGCACTCTGGCCACCGCCCGTCTTTGCTCACGGTCAGCGGCACAGACACGGACCGAGGCGAGGGCACGCTGCTCCTGGGGGCGCTGGAGGCTGAGACCAGCAGGAGGCGCCTCTGACCTGGTGCTGGGGGCGAGCACCAGCCAAACGCACCCTGGGGGTTGGACCCGGTGCAGGAGCGGCCGCTCGGGCGAGCACTTCAAGGCTCGACAACTGGGATGGGAGCTGAACCATCGGGAAAATAAACCAGAAAAATTGTAAAGCCTTGTTTCTTAAATCTTTCAGGAAAATAAGGTGGATTAGTCACTAGCATGTGTAAATACCCTTTAAAAAATTAGTACATCCAGCACCTACTATCGATCTAACTTCTGTAGGGTATGTGCGTGAGTATATGTATATGTACACGTGTGTGTATACATGTAAATGTGTGCATGTATATATGTGCACACACTAAAAGAGCGGCTGAGGCAGTTTGGTGGTAAGAGATCCCGCCTGATAAAGGGGCAGCTGGTGCCCGACCAACCAGCGGTGCTCCAGGCCCGCCCTCCGGCACGAGGCCCCACCAGCGGTGGTGACCTCCCCAGTGTCCCAGGTAGCATCTCAGATGTACTCAGCACTGAGGGTAAGAAGTGCTTCTGAGGACGCAGACTATTTTCTGGAGGACATTACTTGAAATCACAATCTAAGTTCATTTATCAAAAATGCAGAACTGCCTTGGACTCTGAGAGGCCGGTCCACGCCCGGAAGGTGCTGACCCCAGCGCAGGGCCTGGCCCAGCGACCTTGTGAATTCGAGAGGCAACCCGGGGTCAGTCCTCGTCGACACCCACCTGGGACCTCAGCTTCTCCCTGCCGGTTGTCTCCCGCAGCTGCTGGATGGCAGATCTGATTTTCTGGATTTCCTGATTGGTCGTGGTTATCCGCTCGTAGACGGCCCCTCTCTTCTCCTGCACTCTGTTGCAGTCTCTGAAGGGAGAGACGCCGAGCTGTGACCCCTACAGCATCTACAGAGGCACCGCCTCGCTCTGATGCCTGCTCCGGGCCCGGCCTGTGCCTGGCACCCAAGGCCTCTTCTCTGGACAACAGCAAGCGGAGGAAGACCCCAGAGCGATGCGATGTGCTGTCGGGACCCGCGGGCCACACAGGCTCCACAGCCATGGCCCCCGCCTGGCATGCACCCCCCCAGCAGCTCGGCCCTTCACCCAGTTGCAGGAGGAAGAACAAAGGGAATGTGTCCACGACCCCCATTGCTCCTTTGAGAGGCTCACAGGGGTATCTCGGATGCCCTAAGGCCTCAACCGCTCTAAACACTCTGAAACCACAGCGGGGAAGCCCCTGCCCAGGAAACCCCAGCAAACCACCCACGACGACAGATGTCATTGCAGTTCTGATCTGAACACAGAAACAAGGCTACAGCTGGCGGGACTAGGAGGTGGACCGGCCGGGCAACCTGGCAGACCCCCTGGCCCTCCAGGGATCACGCAGATTCCAGAACCGTGAAGCCCAGAAGAAGCACCCACCTCCCGAAACCTCTCTGAGCCTAGACGCGCGCCCTGAGACCACCACCGACTTAGCTGAGGCTGCCACCTAGGGGCGCAGCCCGAGCAGCCCCAGACAGGCCCGGCCCCCGGGGCAGACCCGTGGGCTCCCCCAGCGCAGGGCAGGGAAGGGGGGAGCGGGCCGTACTGGATCACCGCGCGCTTGTACTGCTTCACGTCCTCGTGCTTCTTGTGGATCCTGAACTGCACCGTGGCGAGCTTCTCCTTCTTCGCGTTCACCAGTCTTCGCAGGGCGTTCTCCTCGGCCTTCAGCTTCTTCAGATCCGACTCGCCGCTCTCAATCTGGTCCTCCAAGTTCAGGTTCTGCGTGCCGCGAGAGGGACTCAGTCACACGGCCGGTGGGGGTGCTCAGACAGAGCGGGCGACTGCCGTGTGGGGGCAGCGGCTCGCACCCGGCACCCACAGAGGCAGGCAGACCGCATGGCGGGGACACGAAGGCACCGGCGTCTCACGTCGCTCCGCCAGCAAGGACGGGGGCGGGGCGTGTATGAGACCCACCTCAAGGCGGGGGCGGGGGCTGAGCGGAGGGGGGTGCGGGGACGAGGGGCCCAGAGCGGTCAGAAGCGGGGACCTCCACGCTGTCCCGCGGGCTGTGCAGCGGGGGGACAGACACCTCGGGTACCACTACTCTCCAGCGCCCAGGTTCCTCACACAGGAAACCTTTCATGCACCATGACCGACCCTGGGGACAGGTGGGTGAGGACGGAAAGGGAGGGAAAGGAGAGGGTTCCCGTTCACAGCCTGAGAAACTGAGTGCCCGTGGGCCCTGGCTCCCAGCCTCGGGTGCAGGGGCACTGTCACCGGCCTCTTTGGGTCCCTGGCTGCGCCAGGCGTCTCGTGGGACCCGGTGCGTGCTGTTCGTAGGGTCATTTCTGCAGTTTGAGTGGGTGGAACCCCCTCCTTTTTCCTGAAACCCCAGGCGAGGTGGACCCACCCCAGGAACGGACACACAAGACCCCACAGTGGGGCGGGACGAACCTCCTTCAGGACGCTGGCCAGCCTGTCCCGGTCCCCGGCCAGGTCCTGTATTTTCTTCTGATACAGCTGCACCTCCAGCTGGCAGGAAGGCAGGCCGTCCACCGAGTCGCGGTACAGCTCGTACTTCTCCATCACCTCTTGCTTCAGGGGAGGACACAGAGCCCAGCGTGACGGCCTCGCCCGGGAGCCGCCCGGGGCCGGGTCAGGGGCCGGCACGGCAGGCGCAGGTCCGAGCGCCACACCAGCGTGGCCCCTCACACCGCCCGCACCCCGGCCCCCGAGGACTCCGGCCCCGGGACACCAGAAGCTAAGACGGTCTCAGCCCTCTGTTGTTAGGGCAACCCCTCCAGCTCCTTCCTCTTCTCAAACCGGAAAGCGAACACGTCACAACACAGGCTCCTCCCCACGCCGCCCACCGTCACAGCAGGGCCCGGCCGGTCACGGGCACCACACGCACGTGCGCCGCGGCCGCACCGCTCTCGGCAGCCCCTGGGTTTGCGAGCTTAATGTAAAAGTCCACCCAGACCAAGATCACACAGACGTTCTCCTAAAATCACTGTGTTTTTTTAACGTTTAATAACCGAGTTAACGTTTATTTTCACGCCCGCATCCTGCACCCTCGGCCTGGTGCCCCCCCCCACCGCCCGGGAAGCACCCTCTGCCGTCTCCTGTGTACTTCTGTAGGTGGTGCTTTAAACAGACGTCATTCTCTGGAGCAGTTTCACGTTCCCCGTGAAACCGAGCAGGACACACAGAGCGACCGCCCACCTGTGTCTGGCCCCACGCAGAGCCCACACGGCTTCACTGTGCACACTAGCATTTGCTGCCACGCTGGTGTGTCACACAAGTGTAACACAACGACAGCGTGACCTGGAAACACGTCAGCGTAACAGCAAACACCGACCCTCCCTCCTTTGGAAGCACCCGTGTCTCAGAGGGCACCGGCGGAGCCCCGAAGCATGCGTGCACGAGAACGGGCCCTGCAACACCACGTCCGCGCCGGCAGCCACCGCAGACGGAGTGTGCACACGGAGGAGCGCCCATGACCGGGCCCCGGGGGGCAGCACACGTTTGAACTAGAAACTCGTCTCAGTAAAAAGGAAACTCACCCTGGAATTTTTAAGCTTCTGGACTGTATCCTTCATTTTTTCTTTATAATTCTTTAACTTCTCTGGAGAGTCCACAATTTTGGTTTTCAGACTCTCTTGTGCTTCTTTCAAAGACACCACTGACAACCTCAGTTCGTTCTGGGGAGGAGACACCACTCTGTCGGCTGCACGACAAACTCGGCGTCTTCCCATCGCGGGGGGGGCCGGACCCAGGAGGCTGGGCCGAGTCTGAGTCCCTGCGACCTGCCCCACCCTCTCCAGCCCCCGCAGTCAGCAGGGCGAGGGCCAAGCCACATCGGGGTGTGACCCGTCGCCTTCCTCTGCCCGGCCCCTGCAGAGCGACCGCACCGAGCAGGCGCTGCCAGAGGCTGGGCCTCACTCGAAGGCAAGGACACGGGAGATGCCCGACCACGACGCCCGTGGTTCCACATTCCCTCCCCGCCCTCCACGCCGCCCACACGGAGGGCGCTTTTACCAAGCGCTTGGTTTTCTCCGACAGCGCGGCCTTCTTCTGGCCACTGCGCTCCTGCAGCAGCGTCTAGGGAAGAGAGCGGGCACCGTTTTCCAGGGACCGGGAGCGACATGTCAGCGCCGCCTCCTCATGGAGCAGAGACGGGAGTTACAGGGCCAGACTGTGCCTGTGCGTGTGTGTGTGCGTGTGGCCCCAGCCGCCAGGACCTGCAGTTCCTGGCCGAGTCCACACAAGTGCACAAGCGTTTACGCACGGACGCCTCGGGAGCCTCAGCTGAAAGCAAGTGCAGACGTCCTCTCGTGTTAACACGGGACGGCCCTCATGGGCAGACAGCCACCAGGCCTCAGGCCTCACCCCTCGGACTCCGCCCGTGGGCGCCCTCGGGTGCTGTCCCAGGAGGACTTGCGCACAGTGCCCACCATTCGTCACAGCAAGTGCCGAAGGCAGGGAGCGAGGCTCACGCTGGACCTGAGCTCGCGTGAGCTGGAGCGGTGGGCGACAGGCGATGCTGCACTTCCATTCCCTGGAAACGTCCAGGTGCCCAGAGGCTGCAGGGTCCAGGGACAGCAGGGTTGGACCGAGCACAGCCCTCAAAAGTCCCAGTCCACAGACAGTGTGTGACTTTGGCACCACCAGCGACACAGTGGTCAGACAGGGCTGACAGAGGCACATGTCCCTTGGCAGAGCCCCAAGGGGCACGGCAGTGACAGTGTTCCCTCTCAGAACGCAAGCCCCCCCCCACCAGGAACCCACTGGGCGAGCCAAGGTCCCCACGACAGGTACCGTCTTCTGCCGGAAGTCCTGGTTCAGCAGCTGCTGCAGCTCCTGGATCTCATCCGACAGCTGCTGGAACTCCGCCTGCTCTTCGGCTGGAACGGAACTGACCACACGCGGTGTCGGCCACCACGCGCCAGAGGCTGTCTCCCCACTGCCACCCCCACCCCCGGGACTGCCCCTACCCTCCTCAACCCGACCAGCAGAGGCTCACTCGCCCACTCCCGCCTCCCCCGCAGGAGGGTCTCAGCTGGTCTCCAGACATCGCTTTGACTTCATTTGTTCATCTCCCACTTACTCGAGTTTCTCCAGTTTCGTTAGCGCCTCCTGGTGCGCCGTGTTCAACTGCTGCATTTTGTCCACCGAGGATTTCTGCCAAGCGATTCCAGTAACCTCACGTTAGCACTTCAGTTGGGGACGTGCATAAAAGCCGCCGGTCCGGCCTGCAGCCCCCTCACCAGGGGCCACACTCACAGGCTGACCCAGAGCCCAGCCCTCAAAGGGGCAGACCCGGAATCTAACCCCCAACACAGCGGTCCCAGTGCCGGGTACAGCGGCGTCCACCTCAGCCCAGGTGACGGCTGGGGGAGCGTCGCAGAGGGTGTCGGGCTGCGTCTCACAAACGAGAAGAGACCAGGCTGCGTGTACGCACATGTGTGAGCTTGGAGCACAGGAGGCGCAGGCTCAGCGTGACCCCTACAAGGGCACATCCACTGACCCCCGGCCCGGAGCGGCCAGGGCGCACTGCCGACCCTCTGGGCCCCGGGCTTCCCTGAGGGCCCACCCTGAGGACCGAGGGCCTGCACCTCCCCAGCACCTGGCCTGTGATGGAGCCAGTGTCTCTGTGATCCACCTGGACAGAACCGTGCAGCTGGACAAACATCCAGCACGACAAACAGCAAACCCCCTCATGGAGCCGTCACTTGGGAAGCCCAGGCCTCGAGCCCCAAGGACCTCCAGAGCGTCGGGGACAGACGGGTCCCCACTGTTCCCTCCTCTACACTTCCTAGCGCAGGGGACGGACACCTCAGCCACAGACTGGAACAGGAGACCCGGCCTCTGCCCGACGCTGCCGAGTCTCAGTGGAAACCTCCCTCGGAGACGAGCTCGGGGAACAGAAACCTGCGTCTTCCCCTCAGTCGGGGTGTCAGACTCATTTCTTCCCGGGGGCCACACCAGCCTCGCGGTTGCCTCCAAAGGGCCGGATGTAGTTTCAACTCCTTAACGGGTAAGGAGCAGTCACAGTTACACAGTCCTGAGGTTATCTCAGCCTGTGAAGCAACCTCGGGGCTGCTGTGGCCCCCGGTGAACATGAGTGTGATGCCCCTGCTCTAAACGGAATAAACTGGGTTCCACCATGACGAGCTTGAACCATTTCAAAACAGATCCCAGTCTACAAATGATGCTGCTCGTCCGCTGTGTGACCCCCAAACCCCCGAAATCTTACGTATTGCCAGAGAAACTCCATGTACGTCTCCCGGCACGCCTCCCGGAAGTGGATGAAGTTGATGATGCCGCTCAGGAACCGACAGGTCCGCTTGGCCTCTGAAACGCAGAGCGAGGCCCCTCACGTGACTCTCCGGACCAGCACAGGCGAGTCACGGCCCCCCAGGGGTTGTGAACGCCCTCCAAGCCCCCCATGCACTCTGCCCGCAGGGACAGAACAAAGCTGGGCGTGTGCTGCCACCTTCCAAGGGCCCAAAGTCCGCTCGACTCAGAGACCAGGATTCTCTCTGCGCCTGTGACCCAAGAAGAGGGGAACCACTCCCGCCCAGGAGAGCGTGACAGGAGCCAACTTCCCCTGCTCCTCCACCAGCCAGAACGCCAGGCCCCAGGACTGTGAGCAGGTGACCGAGGACAGTAGCCCCCAGGGGAGCCCCGGAGGTGAGCAGCCCCACAGACTGCAAGTGGCTTCTCTGCTGGACGACACCCCAGCGCCAGGGTGTGAGGCGGCCCGCCCTCCAGTAGCGGCGCCCTATCCCCGGGGTCCCCGCAGAGGGGACGCATGGGGCTCCACACTCACTTGGGTACAGGATGTCTGCCGTCTCGAAGTCGTTCACGCGGCAGATGGGCAGGAACGAGTTCCTGGAGGGCGCAGGGGAGAGCATGCTCAGTGCGGGCCCGTGCCACACATGCGAGAAACATCTTCCCGTCAGCGAAACCCTGGACTCGTCCTGCAGGTCAGAGGACCACACCCGACGTCCACCAAGAAGACCGAAGGTCCCCTGCTGCCCGAGCCCGCACGCACACCCAGCTGCGGTGACAGACCAGAGACAACGCGTACTCAGGTGGCTCGGGGTCTGCGGAAGAGCGCAGAGGCCTCCCACAGCTGCCCGGCCACACCGTGGGTGGACGCTGCCAAGGGTGGGCCAGGAGCTGCACGTGCCAGGTGTGTGCCGCCCTGACCACACTCGGGGCGGGGAAGGAGATGGCGGGAGCTTCTCCCGCCATCCAAAGAGACCTCGACCTGAGGACGGCGTAGCACCAGGCAGACGGGCCGCCCTACTCACAGGTAGATGAACAGGTTGCTGACGGGCAGGAAGCCTTCCATCAGATGTGGGTACATGACGTCCGAGTTCACCGGCATCTACAGGGAAACGGGGACTCTGGGCCACACCGATCCCACGAAGTGGGGGAACCCTCGGTCTCAGAGCAAGAGGGAGTCATGCCGACTTCTCAGGGAAGGGGAAGTGCCCCCAAAAGCCAGACACGCACAGACCAGCACCACCGTCAGTGACGGTGACTTTTAAGTCACCAGGGTGCTCATGAGTGGTCCCCATAGAAGACAAGGCAGGGGCTGGTTCCACCACCTGCTCCCTGGGCGCAGTGCTGCCTGCCCATCCAGGCACAGATGTAGCCTCAGCCGGGCGCGCACAGCCAGGGCTCCCAAGGGACGCCGGGGACACCGACCGACACTCCATCTCAGCGCCTCCTCCGAGGACACACCGACGAGAAACGGGGCCCTCCTGCCAGAACCCTGCCCAGTGCTCAGCCCCAGCGCCACCTTCCACCCCGGCCTGGGGCCCCACCCAAACCAGTCCCTGTGGACCGGCCTCCAGCCTGGGACTGGGGACACCTGCACCGCATCAGTGACATGAGTCCTCCGTCTGTCACGGTGGTCCCCATCCACCTGAACCCATCAGTATGAGGCCCCACTGAGATGACTGTCAAAGTGACATGTCACAGAAGCCTCTCCTGTCCCAGCCACCCCCCACCCCCCCAAATGAGCACCCGCGGCCCCCGTGCACCCACCATGTAGAAGTGCTCCAGGCGCGTGCCGTACACCATCTGCAGGGCGCGCAGGTAGATCATGTGCAGGACCTCGGGCTGCGGGGACAAGTGCCCGTCAGTGACTTGGACCTGCCGGGCCATAGCGGGGCCTTCGCAGCAGAGGGCGAGACCAAGGCCTCGCTCCGGCCCCGTATCAGCGCCCTCCATCCACCGCTCAGCATTGTGGAGCCCGTGTGCTCACAGGCTCACTCAGCAGCAGCTCGGGGTCGGCGATGGGGGCTGCTCAAGCTCACAGGGTAGGAGTGAGGCTGCCGGAACCCAGCACCACCCCCACCAGGACGGGGGAGGGTCAGTCTTCCACAGGGGGCTCCGCCTGTGGTGGCTCGGGGGACCCTGGGCGGTCTGTCCCTAGAAAAGGGAAAGGCCGCCGGCCATGCAGACCCTAGGCAGCTCGGTGTCCTCAGGTGAGCACTGTGAGCGGGGGTATAAGGTCAGAGGGCAGGACTTCCAGGAGTCTCGGCCTCTGCCGTTCCAGTTATCTCTGACTTTCAGAGAGGGGATGGGGGGAAGGGAGAAGCGTCGATGTGTGAGAGACTCCGCTGGGCTGCCTTCCGCCCGGCCGAGCCCCCGGGCAGCGGCACCAGCTGCTCCCCAGCCCCAGCCCCAGCCTGCGGGACCCGCAGTACCCGTGGGCTCGTTTCCTGTGAGAGCCGCCCTTTCACGTTAAAGAACTTAAGAAACCCCAAGGTCAGAAGGTCGAGTTCCACATCATTAAACTAGGTCGTCCTGCGTCATCACTTCAAGACCAGCTCGGGAAGCTCGAGGGGACTTGGGGGCTTTCCCCAAAGTCATGAAAGCAGCTCATTTCCGCGTGTCACAGCCGCAGGTATAAAGAACGTCTGTCAGAGCGAGTTGACCCCCTCGGGGCAGAGCTCGGGAGGATCATTCACCGGTGAGCCTCTGAGGAGGGTTGCTTCTCCCACTGTTTGTGCTCCAGACCCCCTGAAGGAGTTCCCTGCAGACCCTCCCCACCAGTGACCCCCCCAGAGCACCCTTGAGACAACGGGAAACCTGATGCAGACAGGCGTGTCTGTGGTTCAGCGGCCTTTTCTTCCTGGAGACAATGACCATGTTGGAGAACCGAATTCCCAGTGGAAGGCAGAGTTCAACCGGCGGGGACTCCGTCATTCAGTGGTTGAAACCACTGGCCAGGGCCAGAGCCTGTGTCTGCGGCGCCACATTCGCCCCCCTACCCACAGCACACGCAGCCCCCACGCCGCCCCTCTCACCTTCGGGTTGGGGTAAAGGTCACTCTTGGAGAGGTTTTTGCCGTCGGCTCCCGTTAAGATCTTGTTGCGGACGTGGGTCACAATCTCGGCTACATTGTATCTGGGGAAAGACAAGGTCTCCATCCCGGGAGTCTCCCGTGGGCCTGGAGAGAGAAGAGTGGGTCAAAGGCGGGGAACACGGCAGCGAGGTGCCCCGCGGTCAAAAAAAGTTGTCAAAACCGCAATGTCGCTGGGGCCAGAAACCCGGCCTGGAGCTCTGCGTGACGTCACAACGCTGGTTGCTGTTTGTGGCATTGTGACGCCACAGAACTCTGGACTGCCCTGCGAGGTCCCCTTCCTTGGCCGCAGCAGCGGGAGCAGTGGAGGGCGCAGCAGCCGCTGCCACCACCCAGAGGGTGGCACCTGCCAGGTTCCCTAAGGACCCCACTCCCTAGGGGGCCAGCAAGGCCCCGCAGCTCCACTGTGCGCATGCTCAGTTCCGCAAGCAACGCGACGCGACCTCGGTTCTGGAACTTGTTGCTCTGGACCCCTGGTGCACCCTGGAGCAGCTGGGTGGTGAAGTCCCTGGGGTGAGCGTGGGGAGCCGGCCTGCAGGGCGGGAGATGACTCCGCGGCTCCGCCCCAACACCGAGGCGGACTCCTCCACACTCATTCACGACTCAGGGACACTCCTCCCCACCCGCCCGGTCTGCTCCTTAGAGATGTCATCCTCTAGGCGCGCGGCCACCGGTCACTGCGACTTCTGCCCCCGGCCATTTCCAGTCACAGCTGCACAGCACACCCTGGCTCTGTCCACACGAGGCCATGGAAGACAGCGGTCCCGCCTCTGCTCAGCTGCCTGGTCTCAGCTCGGCCAGCTGCTGACCCACACCGTTCAGGACCCGACCGTCACTGAATGTACTCCGCTCGCTTCCATGGTCTCCTTGAAATGTGACAGTGCGACGCGGGCAGCCGCTTGGACCCTGCTCAACCCACGGGGGACCCGACAAACACATGGGGCACAGCTGCGTCGGCCGGGCCACCGGACTGCTGGGGCCTTGCGCGCGGGGTCGTTGCCTGAGCAGCCGCACGGGTCCCCGCTTTTCCTCCGCAGCCAACAGGCGCGTTCGGTAGGGGGCGTTTGCTGCGTGCGCAGGTTTCCCCTGCGTCGGGGGCAGACGAGTCCCAGAGGAAGAGACGCGCCCCAGAGACTCGGCAGGAAAGCCGTTCGCTCGTCTGAAAGGAGCCCTGCGAGGCTGCAGGGCGGGACAGGGCAGCCCATCGGCCCGCAGGTGTGACCCCGTCCCAGGCGCTCCCCGCACCTGCCTTCTCCTCCCCGCCCACCGCGCCAATTCCGAGCTTTCCGCGCCTTTCCACAGGCCCCCGCCACGGACCCCCACGTCCGGTTCCCAGGGGCTCCGAGGCCTGGAAGCGCCTCCCGCATCCAGTTTCCACCTTTGACAGCTCGGTTCCGACCCGCAAGTATCGACTGGCCTCGCTTTATCGCACGGCGCTTAGTTGCCCTTCGCAGGGGTCGCGTTTCTCCTCCAAACCGCAGGCGGCAGTCCCTCCCCTGGACGGCTTGGCCCGGCCCGCGGGCGCTGGCCCTCGGCCGTCCCGCCAGGCAGCGGGCACCGCCACGATCACCCCGGGACCTCCCGCGGTTACAACCCCTGCACTCGGCGGAGAAGGAGCCTGCAAAGGACGCTCGGCGACAACGCGCGGCCGCGCCTCCGGCCACAGCGGGGCTTTGGCTGAGGCTCCCGAGGCTTGGCTGAGGCCGCGGTCGTCCGGCGACGTCGGCGCCCCGACCTGACCGGTTGCCTTCCGGACGCGCCCCCACCGGGGACCGTGACTCGGCAGAGTCGCCCGCCCCCGCGGACCCCCGCCGCGCTCACCGCCTGCGCCGCCGCCGGGGAGACGTCAATTCCGCAAACCAGCTGCCCGCCAAGCCCCGGACCGTTGTCCCGTTTTGAAAGCGCCGCTTGCCCCTGGAGCCCCGCCTCTTCCGCCTACTTCCGGTAACGGTCGCGGCGGAGGCCGGTGGGGCTCAAAAGACTCCAGCTGCGCCGGCGGCGCGGGCTCTGGGTGGAGTTTTGCTCGCGGCGCCGGCGTCTGTTGGACCCGAGCTCCGCAGCAAGTGGGGCGCGGTGGGGTGCTGCGACCTCGCGACTGGGTTCGTGGGTGCAGAAACCCTCCGCGGCCCGGGGTCGGACTGGGCTTTGCACAGCGTACCTGCAGTTAATTACGAGCAGGCTTAAGGCTTTCGAATACTTAGCGTTGCACTTAGTAGGTGCACGGGACGTGTACACAGAGTATTTCCCGTTTTGTATACAAGGTGGGGCTGCAGCTAAGCCGTAGACGCACCAGAATTTAAGAGCAAATCTCGGGAACGTGGCGCTTGCGCTGCACAGCCACTGGGTGGCGCTGTTGCACCAACGTGAACCCGACACCTGGCAGTTTTACTTCATTTCTTTTCGCTTGTAAACAGAATCAGACCGATGCACACCGAACACAGTGTTCCAGGTGGGACAATTAGTCTAAATGAAGTGGCTTCGAAACGCCTGGCCAGCTCTTGGGCTCAGGAAAGAAGACGACGTTGGGTTCTGGTCACCTGTTAAGACCTGTCCACCGGCTCCATCCCGCCGCGGGTTCATTTTCACTCGTGGATTTGAGAACCGAGTCCAACAGCATTTGAAGGACTCAAACGGAGTTTTTAGTTAGAAGTGTTAAAATGCATGTCCTTGGCTGAGCTCATTTGGGATAAGCTGGAAACCAGGTTCAAGGAAGCTAAAATGGGGTGGGGTTGACTAACCCCACTGACCTACGTCCTCACCCTCAACAACCCCCCCCCCAACTTACCTGATTTTAACATAAGCAGTAGAGAGAACCTTGGGAGTTAATGGCCCTTAGGAGTTGATGAAAATATTTGTCCAACGTGACTTTCTTAATATAATTTTTATGCTCTGGTTGTTTCAATAGCAGTTTTACCCTACCCTGTGGTGTGTCCAGGGGACTTACTGAGATTCCTGGGGAGAACATTGATGTTAATGCACATTAATGTTAAGATTAATCATTTATCACACGATTTTGAAAAGGGGGCAGTTTTTAAAAATGAAACCAAGGATGACCGTGACACCAATTAGAAGCCTTGGGGAACAGCAGGCTTCCTGCCCTGTGGAGTCCCTTATGCCCTGGTTTCGGTCACCGACAGTCAACCCAGGAGGAGCCCTGGGGGGGAAATTGCTTCTAATTTCTCGTCCACTTTTCATGGCTTCAAATCCTGTTTTCTCAAAACATTTCTGTGTAAGTACCAAGTAAATCTAATTTCACCCTTAGTATTGGGACACAAAAAAATTCAATTTTCTTCACCACCACCCCTTTTTTAAGCAGTGTCAACCTGATAAACAGGTGGACCATATAAACTCAAAATTGGTACCTGAATGGTGTCCCTGGGATCACCCATCAAGATGAGTTTTATTTACAGTTAATAAAACTGTACAGGTGCTTAATAACGCCAACGGCTCCCATTTGTAGGAGCTGCCCTAGGTTCCCCCATGAGTTACTTGATTCCCACCGCAACGGCAGAAAGAAGTTTCTGTTTCCATTTTTCAGATGAGGAACTGAGAACCAACTCCTTAAGAAAGCTCAGTGTGCTCAGGGTCACACACCCAGGAAGCCAAGGGGCCGAACCCCGAACCCAGGCGAAGGCTCAGTGGCAGCTCTGGCCTCGGCTCCTCACCACACTGCCTGCTCTCGAACCCCCAGCCCCCAGCACAGGGCTCAGGCCAGGGTGCACAGGTGTCACCTGCGGGGATTGTAAACCCCCGCACCCTGCCATCGTGCACGCACCCTGCGAACAGAGACCCTGCGGGATGAGAGGTTCTCAGGGGAAGGAGTTGGCACACCGTCGTGATCTAAGTGCCGCACCGCCCTCTGGTGTCCCTGGTGTCCCCAGGTGTCGGGGGGCCGGCAGCCTGTCATTCTCATCTACTCCTCTCTCCCCAAAGTGGCAGCGTCCAGAGCCTCCCCTGGACCCGGCCTCCCTGGGACCCGAGACCCCTGCGAGGAGAAAGGAGGTCCTGGGCTCCCTCTTTCCTTTTATCTCAACGGGAAGCTTTACGGCTTTCGCTGTCGTGGATTGTCAGCGGCCCCTGGTTCTGCGCCCCGGCTCCGCCCCTCCGCAGGTGTTCTCCGCCTGACGCGCTTCCTTCGCGCTGAGCATCGACTCCCTGAGGGGCCCCTGCGTGCCCCCCACACGGCATCCGCACCGTGTTCCCATCACGGCGACCTTATCTCTCAGGGACAGACCAGACTGTGTCGTGCTGAGCGATCGTTCCCGCCCTGCGTGATGACGAACGTGCACCTCAAAATCTATCGCCCCCCAAACACAGCAGGGGCGTGGTAGTGTGGGGTGACGGGGCGTCTCATTCCATGCCCACTAGCTACCATTTTGTTTGGGGCTTAGACCCAGGAAGTAGGTGCCGCCAGGCCGGGTTCCTTCTGAGGCTGCGAGGCACCTGGTCCCAGCTTCTGGGGATGCGCTGGTGACCTGTGGGTCCTTGGCTCACAGAAGCGTCACCCTGACCTCTGCTCCACCCTGGCATGTGTCTGTGCACAGGTCCCCTTTCTCACCAGTGAAAGCAGATCAGGGCCACCCCAGTGACCTCACCTTGACCCGATAACCTTCATAAAAGATCCTGTTTGTGCACCAGGCCCCATCCTGATGATTTGGGGTGAGGACCTCCCCCCATGTATTTGGAGGACACAGTTCAGCCCAGGGCACCCAGAAGCCCTCCTGAGCAGGGTCTATAAATAACCCGAGGGCCCGGCCAGACAAATGTGCCAACTCCCTGCAGCATGGAGTCCAGCCCCCGGTTTAAATTGAGTCCTAACCCCTTATTATTTTCCTATCACGGATGTCCTTTGAGGGCCTCACACTCAGCCGCTGTGATTCACTCCATTCCATTTTCTTAGAACCCTTAAAAGGCATGCCTGGATAGCTTCGAGGGGAATAAACAAAACAGTGACACTCTGGGCCTCGGTCATGGAGAAGAGTGAGGTTACAATCACCAGAGCGCAGCGGGTGACTGATTCACCGGGCCTGGCTGAGCACCTTCTGACGCTGTGTGCCGAGTGCACCCACCAAGAAACAATGGGAAGGACGGTGACGGTATCGGCTTAGAAACCACGTTCAAAACCGGCCCAGGCCCCAAACCGCAGGTGAGGCAGTGGCTTGCCCCCGGCAGAGAGGCCTGTTTTGCCGTTCAGTGACCCTGGGCCCACATCACCGAGTCTACATACGCCCCGATGGGGTTTGTCATCAGGTGTCAGGTGGTGGGGGTCGGGGGGTGGCACCTCAGTGTTACAGCTTCTCTCAGAGCCAACCAGCTCTGCCCTGCCTAAGAAAGCATGCGGAGGGGACCACCACGTGAGGGGACGGGGAGAGAGACGCCATCGACGTCCTTGCCTGTCTGTGGAAGGGACAGGCTACGTGGGCACTGCCACTGGAGCTCGGGGCTAGGCGGGTGTGGGGACACCTGGAGGGAGGGCCTCTTTCTTGCTCAGACGCCCTGGAAGCGGCCAGTGCCACCCACACCTCAGGGATTAGAGGCACTGAGCTGGGGACACGGGGGGACACACCCGTGACTTCAGAGGCTCCGCGTGAGGGTGGAGTGTCCGGAATGCCTTTCACTGGGATGGGGGAGTGGGTGCCTCTGTGAGATGACCTCTGACCTCCATGCCCCCACCTTCAAAGCAATAGACCGGGGTCGGTGGGGGGGGGGCTCAGTGGGAGACAGCTCCACGCTCCACCCTCCTGGTTACACAGACCGACCTGCGCTGTGAGAGCCGGAAGTGACCGGGCAGGACGGGGTCTGCGGCCGACGCCACCAAAGAAGGGAAGAGGGAGCACAGCCCGAGGACAGTCGGGGGGACGGCGCCCTTCAGGGTCCGGGTGCTCGCCTCGAAAACATGGCTGCGCCGGTGCCGGGCTGACCCTCACGATGCAGGGACCCTCGGGCTGACCCTGCGTCGGCAAACACCACCCGTCTGACCACACGGCTCCAACCGGCTCCGTTGGCTCCTCTCCACGCTCGGCTTCCCAGTGGGTGGTCTCGGTGTCACCGGTGGGCAGTCAGGGGCCGCGTTTACATGAATGATCCAGGACGCGATGTAACAGACTCGCAGACGTGGCCTGTTATGAAGTGGAAACTATGTTCCACGCCAGTGGCTTGAGTGTGAAGGAGGTGTTGCCCCATCCTGGAAGGGTGTGCACGTGTGAACATGTGTGAACACATGTGAACACGTGAGCATGCACAGCTGGCTATGCCTCAACCACAGAAGCCCCGTCCTGGAGGGATGAGGTGAGGGGGGGCCCTGGGGGGAAGCACGGGCCCCACCCGGGAAGTCGGTGTGGTCTTCCTGCAGGGCACCCTCTGAGCCGGCTCTGGAGGTGCAGGGTAAGCCTGTCAAAGCCAAGTCAGCCTACAGCACCTTGCTCAGGTTGGCTAATCAGCTAACCCTCCGCCCCAGTCAGGCAGGAGCAGTGCCGGGAGCCTAAGTGGGAGGAAGACAGGCGCAGGGGGTTGGCCCTGCAGGGGGTGGAGAGGCGGGCGGGGCTCCTGAGACTTCTGGGGGCAGAGGGGGGACCGGTGGTGTTAACATAGGCTGGTCCAGGTCGGTCTCAGAGGTCTTCTCGGAACGACACTTCACTGAGCCTGCAGGACAGTCGCTGGGCCTCAGGACCCCACAGTGTGAGACCAGGCCACACGTCCGGACGGAGGCCCAGAGCAGAGGGATGGGGGGGGGGGGCGCCTGGAAAGGGTCGCCGAGCCCAGAGGAGTG